CATTGCAGAAGTTTGTTGAAAATGTTGCCAAATCTCATTTAGTAGATAAATTCAAGAATGCCTGGATCCCTTTTAGAACAGTGTGGTGCGCCATATTTTACTATAAAGAGCTGAATTTTGTCATTTAAGTTAGTTGAAGATGAGAGATCGTTCTGTGTACATGAATATTGTCTATATAAATTAATATTAGGTACAAATAAATTAGTTATAAAATAGGAATGTTTAGTATAAATAAATTATGAATTAATGAACTATTTTAAATATATAAACGTTACAGTATTTAGGTTAGAAGCAAAAAGAAAGGGTGAACATTAAAACAATTAACCTTTACGGATGTTTGAAAAAAATTAAATCTTTCAAAGTTAATGGATATAATTTTTGTTGATACTATTTCATGCTGTTAAAAACTTAATATTTATTTTATAATTCTTAAGCCACGTTTTTCTCAATGGTCGCCAAGCGATCGCAACCGAGTAGCTGTGACTGAATCTCAAGCACATACACCTGTTTTCTCCCAGTGCAAATAGGATATATTAGGTGATTGTATAAAAGAAAATGAATATTCTATTCATATTTTTTTTTTTTTTTTGTGTTTGCAACTTGTATGATTTAGTTGGATTGAATAACTCTGCCCACTAAACATGTAACATTACCAGTGATATTTTCTAACGTTTTTACATAAACTTTTCTTAATATATTTTTGAAACGATACTAAAATATTCCATAGATTTTTAAATTTTAACGTCATATTTAATATATTTACGACTGAAATTTCATGTCCACAGCAGTACTTGCATGAACAGTTACATAACATATTTTGTACCTACTTCTTTTAAGTTACTTCCTGTGACATTCATTTATACGATGTTAACCTATATAACTTTCAATATTATCGTATACAGGTTAGTGTATTATTGTTTACAAGTTACACATTTTTAGTCTTTACAGCGTAGACCTGTATGTCCAAGAGGGTTCTGTCTAGCGTTCATAGGTAGAGACACCGATGACCGATTGCTACATGTGCAAGCTTGGTAATGTTTTATGATCACATAACCACAAATGTAATAACCAATGCTAATTTGCGGCGAATTAGTTGTAAATTATCTTTTGAACATGACACCCTGCCAGCGACTGAGGCGACTGTAACAGGAATTTGGTAGTAGTAAATCCTTAGCAGATAGAAAAAAAAAGATGCTGTCTTTAACTATACCGAACGAGGCAACGCTGTGATAACGTATCTTCCTCGCTTTCAAAAGGTCATGGGTTCAAGCCCAGTTGCTACCTGGACTGCTATGAGTTTTTTTAGAGCTTCTCTCATAGCAATTAATATCTAATAAAAAATAAGTCCGATTTGCAAAAAAAAAATTATTTCCGTTCGATTCAAATAACATCATCAGACTATACCCTAAAAATCTTACACATAACTTTCGAGCCGCGATGAAATTATCATGACTAAGACTAAGCAAAAACGCAGATATGCAAATAAAAACTATGCATTGTCGACTGCTTCCGGTAATCAAGTTAATCGAAAAGCGATTATCCAACAAAATTAGCTAACAGTCGAACAATGCTATCGAAGTCTCGCCCGGAGACTGTCCTTATCCTCTTATCAAACATTTTACTTTAATATTACCAATCGAAACTTATTCTTCACTGTTTGCTTTCTTGTTAGTGCAAATCTAAGATCTTCGCCGGGTTTTGCACTTACGCTCGACTTTGACGTACTTGCACCTTGATCTTGCGACGTTTTGCAAACATTTGGTCACAAATCTCCAGTAAAATCTTTAGGCGCAGATGAAGCTAACGATGACAAAATGGTCCTATTTTAGCCCATTGGCTCTAAGGGCAGCAGTAGCATTACATTCGACCTTTATTCCAACTACTGAAGTGTGTTTCTTAAATTCTTTGATAGTAAAAGCTGTGCCTTTGTCACAAACCAGTTTTCGAACCACACCAAAAGTACTAAACATTTCTTTTAGAAATTTGACGACAGGTAAACTTTTGCTACTTTTTGCCGCTTAATCAAAAAGATACTTAGTAAATAAATCAACTGCTACTATGAGATACATGTTGTTTTGTTTACTTTCACGAATGGTCCTCTGTGTACTGTATCCATTAGCCTAGATATTTTTGGTATAGAGTGAGATAATTTAGGTTATGGGCCTCCATTATTCTTGTTGTATAGGCAGTTTAGAGAGCAACCTACGTATTGAGTTATATGTTTTTCTAATTTCGGAAACCAATAGCAGCGCTGGATCAGAGGCAACGTTTTCTCTGCCGCTAAATATCCAGCTTGATCATGGCAAAAAGCGACTACTGGTTGTTGTGCTGATATTGGCACCATTCACTTAGGACCTGTACTAGTTTTCCGGTACACTCTTCCGTTCTATATCACGTTCCTTATGAACTAGTTATTCCTCTTTATCAGTTGGTGATCTCAGAAGTATTTCATTAAGATAACGATAGCGGTTGTCCTGAAGTTGTGCGCTTGATAACCCAATCACTCTTGGATTTATTGATTGTCAATTTTTAAACCTTCTCGTACTCGCTGGATCCATCTACAGGATTTCGACTTAAGGCATCCATTTGGGCCATTCGCACTCCAAGACGATATTCTGCAGTTAAGATAGATTTCTGCGTTACCATCTACCAGCCAATCCTCGATAAGAAATCCCGTTTTGTCGTGGTTAATTACAGAGCATTACAATCAGTAACGACTATAAATGGTATTCCTAACAAGTAAACTTGAAATCGCTGCATAGAGTTTACCACTGCCATCGTTTCCAGATCGTATGAGTGACTGAAATAGATAATCGGTTTCAGTTTGTCGTCGTTGTTTCTGTAGTAAAATGGCCACAACTCTATGTTTCCAGGCATAGGTATGTAGTTGCGTCTCATATTTTGGGTGATAAATTGCAAGGACAGGCTTTGTACACAACGCATTTTTGAGGAATGTAAACGCCAGCTGCTGCTGCTGTTTCCAAACGAATTCTAAATTCTTTTTACTAAATTACGTAAGCGGTCGTGTAATAATAGCAATATTAGGTTTTAATATATATTTTAAAGAAGCTAGCTAATCCCAAAGCAGAAGCAGAACCGCCACCGTAACCACATACTCTTACATTGTAAGGTTCCCATTTGACACCACACTGTTCAGCATCAGTCACACGTTTTGTGACCACTGCACACCCTGTGTCTACTAACTAGTAAAAAGGAAACCGGTTTAATTTTTAAGCAACTTCATAACATTTTTAGAAATTTGTATTTGAGGATAAGCAACGGTTTTTAAGGTAGACGCTCAGTTGCGGTAACAATTATTCACAGTATGTCCTAACTGTTTACATGGAGAGCATTCGAGCTTAGACTTACGCCAATTCTTGGAATAATGCTGCCTATAACCACAATTAAAGCACTTAAATTAATTGTCTTCAAACTTATTTTCTTCATTAGAAACGTGTTCTCTAACAAAAGAAGGTACTTGGTGCTGATTACCTTTGACAAACTTTTTGTCCACTCTATAAAAATTTGTGTTTTGTTGTGGCTGCACTGATGTTGAATATGGTGTCGACAAATACCCTTTAAAAAGACCTCAGGTTTAGAATGTCGACCAGCTTTCGCGCCATTTTCTATAGGACTATCTTCAATGCTCTCGATTTCCTTAGCTACAGCGTTTTTCCCCGTAATATCACAAACACGAAGCAGTTCCATTTTTGTAAAATAATACTCAGTCCTTGTTTGTTTGTGCGGTTTAACTAAACCAATTTGTTTTTTAAGTAGACAGAAAATTATTTTGATAGTTTTCCACTTTTTCCAAGAACGATAGTAACTATCTAATCTATTGTATTATGTCTAGGCTAGTCCTTTTAATCTCATTTGCATGATATAAATAGTAGATTTTTCATCCCAGTTGTTAATGTATTTTAACTGGTTTATTTTCCGAACCCATTTTCCAGAGCACTTACGTAGAAAATCAGAGACAAATTTTGGTTTACGTATGTTTTGAACAGGTTGTGTCATATTTGGTTTTTGAACAAGAAGTTCTTTTACAACCTTTTCTAAATCTCGAATTTTCTTGCTTTTATTGACAATGTCATGCTTAGAAGTGCTTCCGCTTACAGATTCTTTCGGTGTTGGTGTGTACATTAAACTTTCAGAATTTAAAGAACGTTTCTTTAATATCCTTTTTGATTTTCCATTTGATTTTCTTTTGTACCGACCACAATCGCATTGCACTTTTACTACTGGTGGAGGACGTTGAAGATGATGAAGAACTATTTGAAGAACTATTCTTTCTTGTTTTGCCCATTTTATGCACTATCACAAACTCAACACACGATTCTCAATACAAAGTACACAACAGTCCCTTTGAATATAGCTTAATAATCCCACTGCTGCTGCACGAATATCTAATAAATAATACGTCCGTGTTGCAAAACAATATTTTATTCCCGCTTGATTAAAGTAACATTATCAGACTAAACTCAAAAAATCTTACACATAACTTTCAAGCCACGATCAAATCATCGTAACTTAGAATATCCAAAAACACAACGCATATATGCAAATAAAAACTATGCATTGTCGATTGCTCCCGGTTATCAAGTCAATCGAGAAGCGGTTTTCAACAAAATTAGCTAACAGGCAAATGCTGCGTCAAAATGCTACCGCAATTTCTCCCAACCTATCCCCTTAAACCCGATTCCTCCAGTGGGGTTACAGAGGCTAGGAAAGCCTATAGCGACTACCTTCCAACTCGAAGAATAAAATACACACCTTTTTTTTTGTTTTTACCATCACAAACCAGTCGCAGATAATCGTTCGTGGTAGCTAACGACTTTACCGCGGAAGAAAACGTAACATTGTAATACAAAATTATTTATCGGGATTTTTATGTTTACCAAGCCGTATTTGTCGATATATCTGAAGATGTTTTCTCTTCAATAATTTTAGGAGTTAGTAGTTTTAATTTTTTTACCAGTTTTTTTTTATCCCAAACTTACTTGATAATATCCTGATGATGACGAATGCAATCTTTCACAAGCACATTACATGCCTCGCTAAAACTAATCCCAGTCATATTACTCATATTTACGGCATCTTCATAAATACTTGCAAATCTGTACTGCAGCATTTTAAATTGTCCTGTAATGTGTTTCAAAATAGACAGAAAGAAGGCACAACCGAAGACAATGTAAGTTTCAGCGATACAAGTATAGAGCAGTTGTATGATAAAAGTGGTATAGTAATATTTATATTTGTCAAATGGTTCCCAATTAGGTACTATGTAGTATTTCTCAACATGTCCCGATTCATCAGGTTTACTCATAAATGTCATAATTAGTGGAAAAATTTGAGCACAAGATGACACGAATACACCTTGGAAAATAAAAATCGAGGCCAGGAATTGAGTGTCAGCTGCGTTTTTCATATAAATGTTTTTAGCTTCTGAATTGTATTTTTTAAAAATGTCTTCTTCGCTTTTCAGTATCAAGTCAAGTACTTCTTGTACCCGTTTGGATTTGTATGTCAATACTTTGAATATAAGTAGCGTTGTGAAAACAGCATTTGCTGTGAAATCTGTTATTTCTGTCGGTTTTCCTTTTGCCGCAACTCCTTTGGCTGTAATATAGACTGTACCAACGTTCAAAAGAAAAAACGTAAAAATCGTGTAGAAATATATGTGGTATAAGAATTTTGCAAAACCCTTCACTCTCAGTGGCCAAATTCCGGAAATGATGACAAACGGTTTTACGTACTTCATGTGGACGTGTTCCCTTTTTGTTGATACCATATTTGCTAAAACAATAGTTTAGAATAAAAATAAGGAAGCAAACTCTACTAATAAATATTTAGATGTTCCTACATTTAACCTTTAGGCAGAAAACCCACTCACGCGACATGTCGCATGCGACCTGCCGCACGCGGTTTTTTAAATGCGATTTTAAACAGACGACAAGCAGCGACACTGACGTTTAATCACAAAATAGATATGAAAGAAGTAACAGCGAAATATGTTTGTTATCGGAAAAAAGTAGCTACTGACTTTATCCTTTATTTATAGAACGTCCAGTTAAATTTAATTTACTTTATATTACAGTGTTTTATATTTAAGGTTGGTCTTGAATATCAAATATATGACGTACTGTACAAATTTAAATAGCATATTGTTTAATATAATAAACGCTATATTTCGAATAGAGCATTTACCTAGCATCTGGAAAGTCGCTGAAATTATAATGATACCCAAACCTGGAAAACCATCAAATGAAGTGAGGTCCTATAGACCTATATCCCTGTTAATAATAATTGTGTAAATATAGTTATTTTTAATTATATAAAAACAGAATAGATTTTCAACTCAAAACAGGAGAGAAGTGCAAAATCAGTAGATCTACTGCCAAAGCTATAGAACTGGCAAAACTAGGCATTGTCGTCAAATGTAACAAAAGCCAACTCGGACAGAAAACAAGGTGTGAACATGCGTGAATTACGTAAATAAAAGCGGAAATCATCTACACTTGCGTTAGCTTTTTTCACGAGTTTTCTCAGTGAGTCTAAAGCCGGCATTAAATTATTTTTAATAATGTATTTAAGAGTGACAACGATAGCGAAAAACACCTGGTTTTACAGTTGACAAGCATGGCCATCCATATAATAAAATCGTTTCAGTGAATAAAATAAGCCTTACATAAAAAATGCATTGTATTTTAAAATCATTGGTATTTATAGCACTAAAGTTAAATCAATTATATAATAATCGTGAAGGAAAGTGTTAAAATATAGGGTTTTTTTTTTCGTCGTCACAAATGCAATACTAAGGTCCCATAAGTAGAGGACCTCTGTAAGTTTTACAATATATCAACATCTTCATTGTATTTGTATATTTGAATGTACCTATCGTAGGAACAAAAATAATCATACCTGTGTTAGCAAGTAATTCTGGATTCAACTGAGGGGAAATTCACAACAGCATACATGTGTTATCTTTTTAGACGTTTTAAAGATGCATGTTATAGCATAAGTCCTTTAATTAGTCTAGTGTACTTCAAATTCACTCTAATTAACAATTCTTTTGATCCGTTTGTTAATTGCTTCTACGAAGTATTTATTATGACCTTTTATTGGGGATTTTCCACAGTAACATTTTATTTGAACAACGATGACGCTGTATTCAGGCGAGTTTAAAACTGATTTGAAATTTTTATAAATAAAAAATATTTTTTAGGCCACTTTCATAAAAAAATACATTTTAAAAATTTTTTAACATCCCAAAGTGTAACTTTTTGGCAGTACTTACTATACGGCCGCTTTAAAGTATTACTTTTTTGGCCGCATTTGCTTTACAATCACTTTTTATAAAAACAGGTTTATCATACTTATTGCTAGTAATTTTATACAAATTTTATTAGTTTACAATGGATTTTTATTCGATCAATAAAAATTTGAAAAAATTCTAGCAGTTAAGCCTCTTTTTGAAAATAAGAATGTAAAAAAAAATATTGGCTCTACTTGATGAGACAGTCGCCGCCATAGTCAATCTGCGGCCCTCTAAGATTTTTGTATGGCCCAAAACACTATTATTAAGGTGACTACAGCACCCCCTTATAAGTTTCGAACAAGGATATCTCAAAAAGTATTTTTTTTTTAAAAATTAAAATTTTGGCAAAATATATAAGGCAATAATATCTAGAATATGCATATATTTTAAAGTTTAAGTTCCTTGCAGTTTCTGAGAAAAAAAAATCAAAGAGCTTTACATTTTGAAATATAATGAAAATAAATTAATTCCTCAACAGCACTATCCTTAATAAAATTCCAAAATTTTAGGTATTAATGTCTTGTTAATGATTTTTTAAAATTCGCCACAACTAGTGGCCAAAACGCCTCGTTAAGTGCTGCTTTCTGTTGTAACACGACTGTAACTATCGTATCGTACACTCTAGGTCATTATTCGTTTCCTGAAAATATTTACTCTAGTTTACACCAGAAGATAGCACTTAACGAGACGTTTTAGCCACTAATTTGGATTATATTAAGAATAGTGCTCTTGAGGAATGCATTTATTTTTATCATAATATTTAAAAATTTAAAGCCTCTTGATTTTTTTTTCTCGGAAAATGGAAGTAATAAAAACTTTACAATTTATGCATATTTTAGATATTATTGCCTAATTTATTTTGCCAAAATTTAATTTTTTTTAAAAAATTACTTTTGCTATAATCACACCTTAAGAAGGTGTTTTTTTTATGTTTTTGAAATCTTGAGCGAAATGCACGAAAACATTCATCGTTCATTACGATAGCTATTACGCTAATTTTTAAATAAACGCTTGGGGTTACTGAAAAAACAAGATAACTCAATTTTTTGCATTTTCGAGTTATGTACACTTTGGTCTTTAAACTAAATAGTTTAAATAATATATGGCACAAACAATACAATTGTAAATAAAGTCTATATTCATGATAAACAGGTAGCCAAGAAAAACTAACTGCATATTAATACATTCATAATATACACAAACAAGATAAGTGGCATTTATACCGAAAAATAATAATATTAATCATACTACAGTTCATCAAATTTCTAGAGGCATTCGACGGCTAGACAGAGAAAGCACTACTGACAGGCATCCCGACGGATTTACGCAATGAAAGTACACTCTGCGCATCAAGTATTTCACTATTTCATTCAGACGTAAATGTCAGATGTAAATTTCGCTAAAACATTTCTTTTATTTTCGTTTGTGTTTTTTGCTCATTACAGTTTAATAGAACCTAAGTATGGAGTTTAATAGCAAATTAAGAGGCCGCGTGATTAACAGTCAATCTCGCGAAATAATAGCCAATGTTATAGAGTTCATGAGAAGAGAAGGAAACTTTAATTCACCTTCAATACCATTTAAAAATGTAAATGATCGTGTTGCTGCAGCCACAGGAGTATCTAAAAATACTGTCGTCCGCATTTCTGGAGAGAAACAAAGAATCGATAACCGTGAGATATCAGAATTTTCATCACCAAGAAAAACCATTAAAAAACCAAAAACAGTTAATGATATAGATGAAGCTGCACAAGAATCAAATTTTATTTTTTTATTATTAGATAGCTATTTTTGTTTCTGAGTTGTGTTCATTTACAGGCTCAATTTTTTTCCGTTTCTCCTTTTTGATTTTATATGGGGTTTCAAGTTGTTTTTGACTGATTTCGACGTAAATCACAACAACACACTTTTTTAATAAAGCAAACAAGTGTTAAGAGGTATATGTACGTGTAAACTACAATTACAAAAAATTGATATGAAACCCATGAAACCACCAACAAAAATGTAAAGCTAGCTTCCGTACTAGAACATGGTGTCATTCGTCGAGATAATTTATCGTTTTGTTTAATAGATCAAGAAATGTAAATATTCCCGTTATTTTTTATAAAATTATAAGAGAAATAAATTTTTTTCTAAATAGTATAGTTTATTATTGTGTAGAAAAACAAAATTTCGAAAATTTTAGTAATGTTTCAGAAACAACCGTTATTAATAATAGGTACCATTTTCCTTAATAAGGTAGAAATAAAATATAAACTATTTCCACGATTTACAAAGGCCTACAAAAAAATTATAGGTATTTTCCGCTATCCTATAAAATTTATATTTTCTGACTCAATTTCAAAAGGTTGAAGGAATTCCAAAACACCTTTTATGGCATAATAATTATTTTCAATTCTACATACTATCTTTAGCTGCTTTTAAAAACGTTCTAAGAAAGTCCAATCAGACCAATTTAATCCCTAAACTATTCCACACTTTTAAAATTTAATTACCTAAAAATATTAAAAACTATTTAAAATAACTTGTTTAGCAGACTGTACAATAGCTATCTTAGTCACACGTAGCGCGTTCTCTGTCTGGGCGTCGAACACCTCTAGAAATTTGATGAACTGTAATAATAATATTGTATTCAATCTGTAGTACTGTGTTTACTAAAACAAGATGAGAGACATATAACTTATTTTTACTCAATAAATTTAGTCCGATTACTAATAGTGTTTCTGCCCAAACGAGATAAAGGCCAGAACATTTTTGTTTGTTGAGTATATTATTGGTTGAAATACTTTAACATTTTGCCCAAGCCATTTGTTTTATATTGCATAGAGCCGTCTCTGGCCTTTCTCGATTGTTCCGAAATCCGTTTTCAGACGGTTGAACACTCCGCCTACGGCGTCGTGCCCAAACTTCGTCTTCGTGCGAAATGACCAACATATCCACTCTTGTTCCACAAAATACTATTTAAGCAAACCGGAAACTTTCAGTGTGCACGTGTGATTCTTTTGCGGAGATTTCTTTATGTCTTTACGTGGTGCTCTTATGTTAAAAATAGCGATGAATTGTAACTCTGAAAATACTGTGCCGCTTGCATCTGCGAAACACATTCAAAACACCGATCTCAGGAGTAGCCGTAATGATCTGGCAAAAGCCTGAATGAGGGACCGTACTAACAGGGTTCGGAAGTTTAATGATTACATTAAATTAATGTAAAGGAGTAAGCCATCCAAATGGTAGTACAAAGTACAATAAGCAATTTAAGTTGCAGAGCTGCAATTCGAACCACAGAAGGAAAGACAGACAGCAACCCGAGCTTGATTGAGTGGAGCCAAGCTTGATTAGGGTGCGCTTACCGAAAATACTTACAAAAAGTGCAAAAAGAAAGATTTACTAAAACTTTGCAAATCAGGCGCTACACCTGATAAATTTCACCATTATTAATACAATCTATCTGTATCCAATAATGTTAATGATAC